TCTTTCCCCTCTCCCCTCTTCCCTCTCCCCCTTTGGCCCCCTGCCCCGCTGCTCCCCCTGCTGTCTCTAAAGAGCGTTACGCCACACTGCCTCTTTATTCTTTTCGGTACGTTATCATCCTTTCATCTCCTTTTTTATTACTACTGTTACCTGGCAAGGTGGGCATGTCTTGTCTCATATTGTGGGCTTTGTTTTTTTTTTTGTTTTTTTTTTTTTTTGTTTTGTTTACTACTGATGGCTCATCAGGCTACAGGCCTATGGAGGGTGGGGGGGTGTATGTTCTTATTGGGGTTTGTATGACCTGTTTTGGTTGTTGTGGGTTTGTGTAAGGAAACTAAGGTGAGAACATCACACAAAGCTGCAGCATTTCATTTAAATTTGAACAGCTGTTGTTTACTGTCCTTGGGCAAAAAAAAAAAAAAAAAACATTTGCAGTTTTTCATCTTCAAAGAGCAAAACCATTCACTGGAAATATTGCTCTACTAAATAAGAAATGTAGGGTTAATTTTGTTTTGGAATGAGGCAGGAAGCCGATCTGAATTCTAATGCATCGCCCTCAGGAAAAGGATAGAAGTCAAGAATTTATTTGGTTCTTCACAGTCCAATTTTAACCCAGGAAAATTCATCAATTTTTTTTTGGTTTACTTGATTTTTCTGTGGTTGCTTTTGAGTCATTCAGCAATGGTACATAAGATGAAATGCTGCTGCTTTTTTAGCGATTGTGAGCTGACATATCCTTGGATTATGTCACCAATTATTCTTTTGCAGTTTGCCTCAGTCTAATGTAGGTATGTGCATGTTTAGTCTACTCCTGCATGTCTCTATCAGGCCCTCAAGTTGATCAAGTAATCAACAGTTTCTTCACTGTAGAGTGATCAAATTGATCAGAACCACTCATTTCACTGCTCTTTTGATTTTTGCCTTCAAATCACCACCTCCCTCTTCTCAAGCATAACCATTTTAGCTGTTGGCATCTGTGCAGTTATAACCTACGAGGACTTGTGTAGCTCTAGAGATCCACATATAGAATTGAAAATTGATATTAGTAAAATAGCTATTAATCAGATGTTCATTTAGTATGATTATAAAAATGTCTGATTTGATGGTTTAAATTTTGTTGCTGTGATTGGCTGTTTGGCTCCTGGTAAGACTGTGTTGGCCTTGTCTTGTATTGTGACACGTGCCTCTTTCCGAAGATCCTGTTCAATAAGAAGGAGAATGCTCTGGTCCAGATGTCCGATGGCACACAGGCTCAGCTAGGTAGCTGCAGCTAGCACTGCAACATTGTTTGCTTTCTTTAATCTAGATTTTTTTCTTTCATCCTGTTTTTCCTCCTTAGTCTACCATGCATTATTTGTGGACCTTAATTGAGCAGTGTTTTCCTTTTTGATAAAATTGATAAATAGTATATCATTAGTTTACACTAAGGGTATCTAGATAATATATTTAGAAATTTGATGTGGGTGCATATGTATCAAGGAGGCTAAGGGACTTCAATGTTGTTTTGTGTATGGAAGACAGTTTGTGTGTGTTGACTTTGTTTATCAACAATGTTTCTCAGCCATGAGCCACCTGAATGGCCAGCGGCTTCATGGGAGGGCCATGCGTGTGACATTGTCGAAACACACCATGGTGCAGCTGCCCAGAGAAGGCCATGAGGACCAGGGCCTCACAAAAGACTACAGCAACTCACCACTGCACCGTTTCAAGAAGCCTGGATCCAAAAATTACTCCAACATCTTCCCACCCTCTGCAACACTCCACCTGTCCAATATACCGTGAGCCCCTTTTTTATTTCCCTCTGTTCCCTGCAGCTTGTGTGCTTTTTCCCCTTTATAGTCCTAATTTGTTTTTCCTCTCTGTTTGGTCCTTAGGATTAAATAGTTTTTTAAACATACTGCTCTAAAGGGGTATTTTTAGATTTGAGTCTGGTCTCTTGTGCATTGTTTTACCACACCATTAAGTAAACACAAAATGCAAATAAGTAGAGGGAATATAAACCCATATAGCTGCTTTAGGTTGATTTGGTTTTGGCTTTTTTATTTTCTTTGCATTATTAGGCCTTCTGTGGTGGAAGATGACCTCAGGAGGCTGTTTGCCAGCTCAGGAGCCACAGTCAAAGCCTTCAAGTTTTTTCAGTAAGTCCTAATCCAGTTACACTTCATTTTCTTTAATTATGTCCCTGGTGTTTGAATGAATTGTCTGTCTTCAGAACACTACAACCTTTTAAGACATAATTTAAGCAATAGTTGCTATGAAGTCCTGCTCATTGTTTGGAGTTGAAGATGTTTTGTGGAGTGCAGAGAAACAGTCTTCAAGTACAACATAGCAAATAACAACCCAGACAAAAGCAGGCAGCACATTAACGATCTCTCAAAACACGGTTCACTCTTTATTTAACAGAAAAGACCGCAAGATGGCCCTGATCCAGATGGGCTCAGTCGAGGAAGCGATTGAGTCCCTCATCGAGTTCCACAACCACGATCTGGGAGAGAACCACCACCTTCGAGTGTCCTTCTCAAAGTCCACCATTTGAGTGCCTTTGCTTCCTCCCTCCACGTCTGTTGCCATCTGAATGCCACTTTTTTCAAAGTTGCCTTCAGTGGAAATAGCCACCACTGTAGAATGTTGCTCCTTTTAACCCATCTTCCTAGTTATTCCCCATCATAGTTTTGGATTTAATCAACTCTGCTTATTGATCCCTGTGACCAGTTCTTTGTCACCAAAATATGAAAAACACTTGTTTTGATTTAGTGTCACAAACTGCCATTTGGCATAAAATACAAGGTATTTTAAATTAAAACGTAGACTGATAATATTTCCTTTTGCCTGCAAAACCATATTGTCTGCGACTTTACACTTGTTGGCATGAAGCCAGATCCGCAAAGATTAATAGAAACTGGGGCTTTATGTTACGGGTGCAAACCCCAGCATTTGTTTGCCATGCTCCACCAAGTTAAAGACTTGCACCTAGCAGGTGCTTGTGTTGTTCAATTAATTCCATTCCCTCCATCACTACAGTCTTTTGTGAAACTTGGCTACATTAAGCTGTAGCTCATCGTAAACCAATAGGTCCACACTTAGCCCAAGGCTCAGTGAGTGGGATCAAAGTGCGGTTCTGGTTAAATCCCCCGTTTGTAATTTATAAAATTGGAAGTGGTTCCAGTTCAGGAGTGCGCAGTAACTAAATCCAATAATTTGTTCCATTGTTAATTTTTAAGTGGTGTCTGGTGAAAGATGCAACATTCTGCATTGAAGCATTATATTGGAGGTGAAGTAGGAGCAGCTGATGAACAGACACTTTAGACCAAATTTAAAAAAAAAAAAATCTCCACCACAGATGTATGCTTATGTGGATGAATCCCATCCACACCAGACACACTTTGGCATTCCTTTCACTATGATAGTCATATCTCTGTGTGTGTGTGCCTTTTTGAAAAGCCACTTTGAACCTTTTTGGCCAGTTGGAAACTGTTTGAGACATTTTGGTTTTCACAGACCACCAGACAACTTATTTCTCATTTAAGTTTTATCGCCTTGTGAGTGTCCACCTGTTTGCTTCAGGGTAATAATCCATGCCACTATCTGAGGTTCTTCAATAAGGCCCCCCTTCCCCCCCCTTTCTCTACAGATTTGTGCCTTACTGGACCCCTGCCCAATTGCCTTCAGAATTGCTGTGGCTTCATTTGGAAAAGCCTTTTTTCATACCTTTTGGTATGTACCAGCATTGACCGTGGGGGGAAGGTGGCTCATTCAATATTGTTTTTGTCTTATCTAAAAATTTGTATGCATATAGCCCCATTATATATATATGTAGAAACTACGAATGTAAGTCAGTTAGATGCCTAATATCCTTGCTAGGTAATGTAGCTCTATTAGGTGTATTGTGGTTAGGGGAAGAACTGTATTCAGCCTTTGTCTTATAGTCCCCATTCACCTCCATTTAGTCTTGGCTCCATAAGGACAGTGGTGTTTGGGGTGTAATTTAACCATGTTCTGTTAATCTATATTTTGCCTATATATTCATTTATCTTTCCTTTTTAATGTTAGCATTTACATGTGTATTACTTCTTAGCTTTACCTATAGTAGAGGCTGGGTTTGATCATTATCACAGTGCCTTTACTCCTTGAGTTAGTAATCTGAGGCTGAAACACTTCTGGCTTGATCAGCTGACTGTGTTTACCACTCATTCAGGTGTTTTATCTTACCTGTCTGCAATGATGCCATCCCATTATATTCAGGTTGTTCTACCTGGGAGAGGGCATGTTGGAGGCATTTGTCACTTGATAGTAGCACCAGTCTTTGGCTGTGTCTGAAAACCCAGCGTATCATTTTTCTTAAATACAGGATGAGATGATTACAGGGTGGGGTGCCCCTCACCTGTTCCCCGTCTGTGTCCACTGCAGTCACAGTCGGGTTCTTTAGTGCACTTTTCCTTAAGCTGGCAACGTCCACGTTGGCACCATCACACTGAAGTCTTAAATGTTGTCACATTCCTGTGTGCCTCAAGCACCATTTTCCACAGCCTCAACCACTGTAGTCTTGGACCAGATACAGATGCGTTCTGTTTCTATTTTTGTAAAAGATTATTATGCATGGTTTAACGAAGCCTCATGTAGCTGCAGACGGTTATTGCAGTTAAGGACCAAAGTATCTTCTACGCCTCTTGTTTTGTAGTGTTGTGATTTCTTAGGATTTTTTTTTCCCCCCCATATTTCCTGCTATTCCACAGAAGCACAAGGCTTCAGTTTCCTTTTTTCTGTTCCTCAGATTCCTTGGACAAAAGTCACATGAAGTAGAAATGTGTTGAGTAACAGTGTATACTGTATATTGTACCCCTTTGGTTTGACTTTACATAGAGCCTGCTTTGGTAGAGATCACTTTAGAATGGATACTTAATTGATCCACAGTCTTAGCTGTGATGTTGACAGTGTAGATTATATACCTTTGAATTTTTGTTTAAAAGCTTTTAATTTACTCTCCTTTTTATACGGGGGTGGGGTGGAGTTGTATGATGTGGGCTTGCTGGTTGTATATATTCATGTTTTTGTATCACAGTCATTTGGATTATATCAAAACATGTATATTTTGATAAAACAGTACACACCTATTGAGCTCACTGGAGCTGTGAAAACAAAAAAAAAAAAGTTGTAACACAAAGACATTAAACCTATCTCACCAGAGAAGTGTCTCTGTTGTGCCCGCTCCCCCTGTCTTGCCGTTCTGTTTCTTGCCATCTTCTATTGCCTTCAATAAATCTTGAGTTTCTTTGTTCTATCTGGCCTCATTTGGTTTCTGTCTCTTCTCTCTGTCCTGTGGACCGGCTGCTCTGTATCAGTTAACCTCTCATAACATTTTTCACATTTCAGCCTGTTCACTGCTGTTTGGTTGTTTTTAATCTTTTAACTTTCCGACTTCACACTCATCCCCTCTAAAACAACTGACTGCTCGTCTGGGCTCGGCTCAAATGCCGTTTATAATCAATTGATGAAACCACTCCAGCGATGACATGTTGGAGAGTTAATTCAATATGCAATGTTGGAAACTTGATATCCTCAATGATTTTTGAATAATCTGTTCTTCCTGTGCTCTCTGTCGACCTCTGGTTTAGCAGCTCTGGCTGACTCTAAGGAGAGGAGCCAGGCTGCTGTCAAAACAGTTGCTGAATCCCACAAAATTAAGATAAAACACACAAGCTTGTATCTGGTTGATAATATAAGAGATGATGGAGGGGATAAAAGCGGGGAAAAACCCTAATGACAAACTGGTTGTACACATCCTGAACCACTAGGGGGAGATCTTGTTCTCTCCTGGTCATCACAGGTTGTTGAGCAAAGGTGACTTTATCTGTCACTCACACAATGGTAATAGTTAGTGGCTTAATCTAAAGAGCCTCCTTGGGTTTTCTGGCATTATATCCTATTTTCTTTGGATGTCCTTACACAGTGATGGAGAGGATTAAACTAAGATCTTCCTTACCTTTTGAGAGAGGGACAAAAAATAGAAAATGGGAGCCGAGTCCTGTGGTTCTTGTATTTGTGGCAGAGAGGAGCTGGGTTTTCATGAATAATCCCAGCAGCCTGTGGAGTGTGTTTTTAAACATACTGAGCTGTTGTGTGAATCCCACAGCAAGGGTGCCTTTTTTTTCCCCCTTCTGTTATTACTTCATATAGGAAAACATGCTTGAAGGTCAGAGTAAAGACAGATGGCAATCCGAAGATGCTTGCTTGGTATAACCAACATGAAAAATCTATGCATGTTGGATGCTAAAGTGAGCCGGTTTAATGTTACCCGGAAGTCATTTCAACATGGGAGGTTTGCCAGGTATCACAACCAGCCTTTTAACATCTCATGTTCAGGTGCCTTTTTTTGGAACGCCATCTTTGCAGTTCAGTGCACCCCTGCCAGTCAGGAAATTCCATGGCAACAACCTGACACTTTGATGGTGCTGTGATTCCTCAGTCCCTTGTTTACTCACAGCATTTTTCACTGTACCAACAGTGTTTTGTAGCAGAGAGCTGTCGACACGAAATCCTCTTTGGAATATACTGAAATGCAGAGAGACTACATAATTGGTAGGAAGGGTAACTCAAAGTATATGATCCATACATAGTTTTATGTATTTAGGTTAACTAATTCCAGGAGGCACTCAAAATATGGCACTTAATATAATTTTAATCTATCAAGAGATGTTTTTTTTTTTTTTTAAATTGACACGCAGCGTATGTACAGTAAGGGCAAACATTTAGCTTTCAAAATTGCTCTGATCCAAAAGTTATTTGACACCAAAGAAAAAAGCCATATTGCACAGAGACTACTCTAAGTTCTGTTAAAACACCTAAGACGTCTCCACATTTGTATTTTGGCTAGTTCAGTGTGGCGTTCGTGTAACCGTACACAGACCCTTTGGGTGTTCCTGGCTTCACTTTTCACTGTGCTCAGGCCTAAAGAAAACTATGTTGGGTATGGATCCCGCCACATCTGGCAACAATTATTTACATTAGTACTGTGGTCTCTAATCAAGCAAATACTGGCAAACACCGAGGCCTCACACAAATGCAAACCTGGTGGTAACTCAATAGGGGCAGGGTAGACAAGTGGCTTGAGAGATTGGTGTGTGTATAATTTGTGACATGTTCAATCCTGGGAACCTTAGTGTTTGAGAAAAAGCTGAATGTGTGAGACATGGAAGTTGGCAGAATGTGAATTGGTTCTTTGTTAACATCTTGAAAAGAAATACGTTCATCTGTCTTGTATTTTAAGTTCTGGAGCTGGGAAATTGATCATGCGTCTATAATTTGTGTCCCTCTTGAACAGTGTTAAACAGCAAAGCAATCAGACTTGACCACCAATAAATCCCAGGATTCAACGCTCTGTTATGGAGACATGTCTACACACTCCGACCCCCTCACCCATATTCATTTAGGTTTAGGATCACTTGAGAGGCCTTCATATCTGAATCCACCCAATAGTGTGTAGTCTGTGAAGTTTAGACTCACCTTCAGAGTGACAGAGCAGAGTAGGAGAAGCCTGATGCTGAGGTGAAGGATGCCTTTGGTCTCTGGCGGTGCCCCTTAAAAAGCCATCAGGAGACTATTCACCTGTTTACTTATGTACGCCTCAGACAGATGTTGAATAATTCATCCACAGAGGCGGACAACATGCTGCTGTATTTGGGTTATGGAGGTGCATGGGTTCTCTCCCTGCCTGCATTCATGCAGCCCAAATTATAGGCATTACATTGCAGGCAGAGCAGGGCAAAGCAAAACTAGGACACTTTGCATAAAGGATCCAACCGAGAGGCACAATAAGTTCTGATGGATGGAACTGCAGAAAGGTTCATTTTACACAGGCCGGTTAGGATTGGGAACACTGGGACAAGTCAGTCGGCTTGATTGTAGAAAAAGTTCTTTTCAGGGAACGGAAAGAGTTTGCACACTGCAGAAAATCCTTCAGGCTATAGCTGTTCTATTGAGTCTGTAAATTGTATTTCCCCGTGACAGTGCGAATTAACTTTTTGTAAATCACGTTCTTGAACCAGTTCTCATCTTGTTGAGCGGACTGATCCTCATCTGAGCTCGTTCTCCGCAGGTTATCTGCACGTGTGGGGGAAAATGGAGCACTTAGTGAAAACAATGTGGTTATTAACCTCCGGCTCTGTGGCTAAATGCCTAACATTTAGGGTTTTGCAGAGGAGTGTGCGCGCACACGGGCAGGACAGCGACAGCAGCGGTGGCCGCGCTGTGCCAGACAGCGCTATCTGCAGGTTTATGGCTCACAGGTTTTAGACGCGGTGCAGCCTCCGCTTGCCCTTTGTGTCTAATGGACACTGATGGAAAATGACTCCACTGTTCCAGCGATCCATCAGACGCCCTCTTTCTCGCTCTCTGAGCTCAGTCCATCAGGCCGCAGCTCTCAAACTTTATGGCTGCTTTTCATGCCCAGATGCCAATAAACTGCCTTCAGTCAAACAGATGGTAGTGGTAATGGAAATTTGTAACAAGTAAATCATCATAAATAAAGGTTGTTGCAGCTACAATTTCCAGTTCCTCTCTGGGAAACTATTGTATCTTAAGTCATAAATCTCGAGACTACTTCGTGTCATAGTAAAAGGGCCTGTTAACTTTCTTGAATAAAAATGTGTTTCACTGACTTGAGGCTTTCCTCTGTACATTCTCTGTTGTACATCGCTAGGGCGCAGTGAGTCAGCCATCCCCGAGTCTCCTGAGGGAACGCGGCACGGTACGGCTGCAAACCCCGCCCGCGCCGAAAGAGAGCGAGATGGAGAGAGGGGGTTGGGGGTTACTTACACCGAAACAGGGTGCCGGTGTGTGTTGATGCCGCCATAGGTGGAGGTTGCACCGAAGCATGTTCGGATTAATGCTATGATCATCACAGGCTCCCTGCCTGCGCCGGCCAACGTGACGCACTGAGAGTGAAGGCGCGCCGCACATTGGATTAGAGCCAGTGACAGCGGAGGGATCACCAAGTTGAGATGCTTTAAGATCTTGTGATTGTGTGAGGAGGATGCTCCTGTCTCGCAGTTGTTATGGTGTGTTAAGTTTGGACTGGAAATAACGTAAAGGAGCGTGTTCCTCTATCAGGGATGTATTTCCTTGAAATGCAATAAGAGATCAGGTAAAGTGGACGTAGTTTTAGGGCTGTGAAGAGGTCTATGCTGGGAGAGGAGCGAACAAAGCGTGCGCTAGGCTCAGTGCATATCTGGGTAAACAAATATGACGGCCGATTTTGACGTTGTCTTATGTCTGCTGATGAGCAACCATGTCCCTGACAGAATGACAAATCTCGGATGAATTCTGGGGTGTGATTAGGTAACTAATTGCGTTTTTATTTTGGATGAAGGGGGATCTAATCCAGGTGGCGCATCTCTCTCCCCGGTTGCGCGTAATGGGAGAAAAGTTTCGGACCTTGCAGAGGAGACGCACTCGCACCATCCTGCCGACGGCGCGCTTTTAAATAACATGAGAATCCTGCTCTTCTGCCCACGGACGACCAAGTTTGAAAGTGAATTTCAGCCACCCGGTATGACTTGAAATACCCCTGAGGTTATCGGAACTTGCATTAAGCCAGTTAACGATCCATGAACCGCCGACCCGATTTGTTTAAAGACACACAGACGGACATTAATGATCTAGAGAGGATTTTTGCAGCAGCAGCAGCAGCAGCGCAGTGACAGCCCGATCTCAGTCCGAAGGAGAGAGAGAGAGATTCCTCTGGATGCCTATGATGTTGTGCCAGCTCGGGCAGAGGTGTGTGATGGAGTTGGTGGTGCTGACCATCCTGTCCTGGGTGTCCGTGTGGGCAGAAGAGAAGATCATATTTGACAGACACGCAGTTTACTGGAACAGCTCCAATCCCAAGTGAGTTCTAGTAGGAGTTGGGCCTAAATGTGTGTCTGTTTATCTTCCTGCATGCTCTAAAAATAATTACAAACATTCCCAGCATGAAACTGAACCCTGAAATCTGAAAGGAGCTACACTGTTTTTTAAACATGACTCCCCACGTCTCCCTTCCCATTTTATCCCTTTCCTACTGCCTCAGCAGTGTTTTGAATGAATATTTGATGCTTTTTACAGTGAGCAAGACGCACACACAGGCGTGTGTGGAAGTGTGTGTGTGTCTACATGTGCATGTACACTGGATATTTGGTTCTGTGGCACAGAGAGCTGCTTTTATCTTAGACAATGAGGGCATCTTGCCTCCCATCCTCATCAATGTCCAGAGATTTGCTTGGTCTCTCTCTCTCTCTCTCTCCCTCACACACACACACACACACACACACACACACACGGCTGGCTACAGCCGGGCCTCTCATTGACATGGGGCAGAGAACACTGGGTCCGTCTGTCTAATGGTTTGTGACAACCTGGTCAGCCTCTTTCTTTCCTTCCCTCTTTCCCATCCCTTCCTCCCTGTCTTTTCCTCTCTTTTATATCCTCCCTCTCTCTCCCAGGTAGATAAATAAACAGTGAAAGTGCTCCCCCTTGCTCGCTCACGGCTGAATTAGTCTAAACTAACGGACCTGTCTCTCTCTGCATCAGCCAAACACACTCACAAGTGAGCTAACAGGCCTGTCTCTGACTTCATCGCTTTTCCACAGAAGGCTTCTCAAATATTTAACAGGCAGGGAGGAACAATTTCTCTTCTTCTTGCTCTTTTTCTGTCTTTCTTTTCATCTGTAGGCGCTCCTTCTTTTCCACCACACCTACACATTGCAAACGTCACAGGGTAGACATATGGATGTTATTCAGGATCTTCCAGAGAAGTTGAAGCAGAAAAAGGGGGTGCATCAAAAATGCTTTGCTACTGAAGCAATGAATCTAGGCTCTGGAGCTCTGGTGCAGTTGGTTCTCCCTGTTAGACCCTGGCACTACCATTGCTCATGCAGCGCCTTTTTCTGCACACACACAACCCTGCACCCAATACTTGTGAGGACCTTCCACTGCCAATATTCATTTCTCCACTTTAATCTAAAGCTAAATCTCTTTCTAAACTTTGAGGATTAAGACAAGGTTATGAGAAACTAGACTCTGGCAGAAAGGATGAGAAGGCAGACACCAAAGTCATCCCACCTCATGTAAAATTTACAAGATCATTCTGGTTTATTTCATTAATACTAAGATTGCATTAACCAAATTATTCTGTGATGTCAAAATGCTGCAGTATTGTTAAAAAAAAAAAAAATCCAACAATGAGGCAAAACACAACCATCCAGGTAAACAAAATCCAAGGTGAGCAAACTTACTGGGAAGATGAAATGACTTTGATGGTAAGTTATTACCTCAGTTGCACTGGTGAAAGAAGTAGGATCTAAATTATTCCATTGCAAATAAGAGTCCTGTATCCAAAGTCTTACCAAAGTAAAAGCACACAGGTACAATCAGCACCATCTGTGGGAAATATCAAAAGTAAACACTGATATTTTTTAAAGTTAAGAGTGGTTTAACAACTGGTGTGAAAGTCATTTATCTTTAATTTTATAAGCTTACCTGATGATTTTACAACTGTAGCTGTTGGATAAATGTGGTGGAGAAAATGTAATGATTGCATTAAAAAGCAGCACCAAAAGCACCTAAAAGTCATTTTTAAAAAGTACTTGAGTAAATATACTTTTTGTCACTGTCCACTGTAAGGATCACAGTATATAGACTGACTACCTGGTTCAACTTCCACCTTCTGTACTTGGCAGCCTTGGGCACATCCTCAAGTTTTCTTTGCAAAAGGGAATTATTTTCAACCTTTAATGCACACTCACTGACTGTTGGACTGTGTATAATTAGTTTGATCACCTGTGGAGATGTCGTTGAGTTAGCAGGTTTCAGTGGTGGCTTTGATGAGTGAAATCTAATAATAACAAATAATGGCCAAAGCAACAAACTTAAGATCTAAGTTTTAATTAACTGCAGTTATTCTTTACAAATCTTATTTAATGTAGCTTAGTTGAAAGTACAATTGCAACTTTTACAAAATTATAGTTTATGTATTTATTATATTTATAATTATATACATTTATATATTTTATTAGCTTAATAAATTGATTTAAGACAGTAGAAATAACTTGAATGAAACTGTAGTTTTTCCTCAAAATACCTAAGTTTTTGCCTTCCTGTCCTCTGATTGGATTATTTGGTCACATGTCAGAGAGAAATCAGGAAGTGCTCTGATGGAAGTTTGTTGACCAGGTAAAGCTATTTCAAAGACATCTGTCCCCATCCAGCAAGGCTGTCAAGGTAAGAGTGATTAACCCTCCATATTTCAAGTCTAGAATTTACCATTTAACACTAGAGTCATGTTACTATACAGTCAGTGAGTGGTGGGAGGAAAAAAAAGTATAACCTTATAATTCAGTGCTTGATTTGTGTGCAGTCTTCCATGACACATTTGATGTTGTTGAAGATCTCAGACTATTCCAAAAAATGTAAAAAGGCTTGTCACTTATTAACATAATGCAGCAGTTATTGTCTGAGTCACTAAAATGACAAACATCTGGGAAAATGAGCAGCTGTGTGTCTTAATTGATCACACAACATCAAGCAGGCAGCTTGTATTGAGCTATCGCAGTGTGTTGTCTCCTCTAGTGTTCATCAAAAGTTCGCTCCCACCAAAACAGCTTGAGAAGGGCGTTTTGCTGCAAGGTCACAAGAGCTGACTTGAAATGTGCAGAATTGATCATCACTCACTGTTTAGTACTACCAGCATACATTTATTGTGTGTTTCCAAAGAAAGGGGAGTGTGGAAAACAGCAACACAGTGGAGGAATATGTAGAAACCTTCCTGCAGTGATTCCAATAATAACAGTGACTAGTTCTGGTGTTTGCAATTGTTTTTCAAGTTTCTCTTAACACAGCAAAATTGTGGAGAAGCTCAGTCTGCTTGGTATTTGTAAATGACTCTACAATTCTCTTTAGCGCTGCAGTGCGTTTTAGCATCTTTTAGCTCATTTGTGTGTTTTGGCCGCTCATTGTGTTGTTGTTCCTGCTCCACCAAGTTATTTTCAGGTATATAAAGATAATTTTTGGGGAGTAACTTGCTACATGTCACTATAGTAGTTAATGTAATTTAATGATTAATTTTATTTAATTGTAATCAGTTACTGAGGAAAAAATATGGGATCAAATTACAAACACTAATCAAAATATTGGTGGTTACATCTCAATCTATATGGGTTAAAAGCTTATATGTAGTGTATAGATAACATTTCTTCTCTTGCTTTGCATCTTTACGCTGTGCAGGGATAGTGGCTTTTTTTTTTTTTTTTTGGGCATATGCGGACAACATGAGTCAACAAAGCCTTTGGGACAAATAGAATCACTGCACCATGGGTAGGATAGCTAACAAAGAGATGTCTTTACATCTAGGTCGGCTCCATTTATTTGGCAACATTTGATTTTGCACCATCTCTCGTCTGTCAGTAAATTCAATGCATATCGCTATAAGAAACCTAAGTCTGCTGTTCCTGGCTGCAACCATCCCGTAGGCAGTACGTTTAAGTTATTTTGAAGGACCTTTAATAAACCAAAATGAGGTAACCTTGCAAAAAATGTCTGACCGCAGGCACTTTAGTCATACAAAACTGTGTCATACTTGTCAGGTATATTGTGTGCACTTCCTGACTTGCAGTTTTTTTTTAAAGGATGGCTTTAGGAAGCTCTTCTAAATTACACAGAATAAATATTTTTCTACTTGACCCTAATTGTACGTATCCAACTATGGTTTTGTTTTTATGTGGCGAGGTTCTGAATGTTAGAATGAGGTTGAATTTAATTTAGTCTGTGGTGCTTAGCTTGTTTCAACACCAACGTATCTTTCCTAAGACAATGTCCCAGTTACTCTGAAAATCTACAAACCTTTATCAGAACTATATTCTAACACGGTTGTTCCCAAGAAAACCTTAAAATGTCAGTGTTTTGAGCACCGCTGCACCAAATTTATACAGTATTGGAGTTTCACAAGCTGATATCTCAAAACTTCTAAATAAAAAGCTGAGACTATCTGTTTGGCAGGGCACCATCATGGATAGGTGGACATAGTTTATGTAGTTTGGATGAACTGACTCTTTACATATTGGCAGTTTGCTGTGGCTTTGGACACTGCTGCTTCAGATTTCCCATTACTGGGACGTACATTGAATTGTTTGAGTCAGTGTTTGTCTACTTCCTCTCTGTCTACCTTAGTCTTGCTTGCTCTACTTTACTCACGTGTGCTTTTCTGGGATTAATCACCATCCACCCTGACATGCTCTAATTGTTTGTTTCTTGCTAATTAATCATGCTGTGGAATGTTGGCCAGATCTGTTTAGGATCGCCTTGATTAAAACTAATTTAACCTGGATAAGTCAAGATAAATAAAATGAGTAAAACATATGTTCCCACTTGAGAGAGGAGGCATACTACAAATTGGCCAAACCCTTTATATCAAGGTCCCTGGCTCTCAGCAGGCCTATCTCTTTCAAGGTCTTACTGGATAATAGAAAATGTATGAGATAATCCAATTCAAACAGCCCCGGCTACTTTTGGTCACGGCAGGGAGTGGCGCTTACACACACTCACACACACATCCTGTTGTTGTGATGAGATACGTGGTACTGCACAGCAACAAAGTACCGTAAGTCACATTATCAGAACCGTACTGCAACACTTGAACAGGATCTGGAAATTGTCTGTGCCCACACACAAAGGGATTCACACATTCAGGAAGAAATATAGGAGGAATACACACACACACGCAGAGATGTAAGCGCTTACACACCAGTGGCATCTAAATGTAGGTCACAAATGCACACACACACAATCGCATACAACCAGATTGGCTGTCCATTCAATACAACGTTAAGCAGCCTCTATTTTTCTGTTTAGTCGCA